ATATCCAACATGTTAAATTATTACGCGTTGTTGTGCGTGAAGATTTTTCGCGTGAACGATGTGACATTTTTTTTACAGATTTGATGCATACTATCGATTTTTTGGATAAATTAGATAAAAATAGTACTTATTTGAAGAGGTATTTTTTATAGTTATAATATTTCTTTCATATAAGTTTTCAGCCTAATTAAATGCTTGAAATTTTATTAATAGAACTGCAGTCGAAAGTTGGAAAACCTTAAAAAATGTCTCGATGTTAGGATTTAAAAATCAATCTCATAAAACCAATGGAGTCTGCTAATCGATGGATTTTTAAGCTATTTTAACTGTTATGAATATTTGAGTCTTGACTTCATGTAAATGATTTAGAGCTTATTAGCAGTCAGGATATGATTGAGGATTCGAGGGCCTCCCTTACCTTTATAAGTTGTCCTTAATAATGTTCAAACTTATATTATTTTTAAATTTCCTTTTCATATCAAAAATAAAATTAATAAAAATTTTTTTTAAAAACCAAATTCTAAAACTTGCCAGAGGCATGTTTGTTTACGTAGTTAATTAGCCTTTTAAACTTGCCAGCAACGTGTTTGATACGCGGTTAATTAGATTTTTTTAAAGGTTTCTATACATGCTTTTGAGCAAGGCAACAAATACCGCATTATAATTTTTTTTTGTACTTTTAAGAATTTTTAATATCAAATAGACAAAATCCTTTTTTTTTTTTTTTTTTTTTTTGATAGTTTCTTACCGAAAATTGCAGAAAACTTGCCTGCAAATTTTTGATCAAATTTGTTTTTAATAATACAACTCGCATAAATAATAATGGGCCCCCATATTCTTATTACCGGGAAAACTACTTGCAAAGAGCTTTTAGCCAATACCATTTTTGTCTAATTTTATTCACAGTTTTTATTTCACCTTCGGTTGATAGAAATAACCCCTGCAAAAGTCGTATGCATATCACAGCTGTTACCGGATGTGACACTTATACCTGGATTTAAATTTTCAAGAGCGATATTGTGGCTATGATTTGATGATATAATTAATACTTGTAAATCTTGCAGGGTCAAAAATATGCAATCATTGGACAGGCAAATTTGCCTGGATCAGTAAATCGTTAAAGGGATAATAAGCAAGCATATCATAATTTCTCTAATATATTTAAACTCAAATTTTAAAGCCAGATTTTAAAACTTAAGCAAGAATTTGGTTAATTAGATTTATTTAATAGAATCTAAAGATTTTATTGTAGAATCAAAACCAAAACCTGAACTAGTTTTTATTGTCTTTAGTAACAAACGGTATATTATCTTTTATTCATTAAATTTATATCGGAGTGTTTGATTTTGATAGATACCCCTATTTTATAATAGTGATTTTATTAAAATTTAGGGTTAGGGTGCAGTTTAATACTGAAATAAGGGTTAGATATAATAGTTCAAATTTTAAATTGCACAGTTTTTAGGAGTTTTGAACATTTTTACTTAATATACCTGACCGCAAATGTTTCTAGGTCAATTTATTGAGATATAGCACCCAAATATCAATAACTCACAGTATAAATTATAAATATTTTTAAATTAAAATTTTGTAATTTTATTTATATTAGTTTAATTAAAAGCTTACTTGGATTTATAAAAAAAAATTTAAATAATAAACAAATACCAACTTTTCAATAGTTCAAATTTACAATATAATAAGAATATAGTATTAAATATAAATTTAAAAAATTAGAATATAAAATCCACTTAAAAATTTTATATAACTTATTCTATAGAATACTTGTATTACTAAAACCAAAAACAATAAATTCTGTAAGAACAATTTTAATATAGTTTGTATTAGGGATATTATGATTTAAACCATGATCTGATTGTTTGATTTTTAATTGGTTAAAAATGGGGTAATATATCATAACATAATCATCGTGATAGTTGAATAATTCCAAAGTATATCACTAAAATTAATGAGTTCTCTGAGCTATTGCTTTGGACATTCATTGAGAGCTCAAGTTCAATTAGGTGGTGGCAATCAAAATTTTTCCTTCCCGAGATTGAACTTTTTTCCAGGTTCTCTCACTGTCAGCTTTTTCTGCTGCTGCAGAATGTTGTTGGTTCTATCCATGATAAATATCGTGCACGCTTGGACAATGAATGAATGGTTGGTTGGTTTGATGACGACGAACTTGGGAAAGATAAATTATTTTATTACATTGTATAGCATCTAATCTTCAAGAAGTTCGTTTCCAAGAACCTATTTAACGATATTTGCTAACACTAATATTTTCAAGATAATTTATATACATGCACTGTAGACAATATCAACAAATATAGTACTAATGCAGAAAGAATACTCGACTGATAGGTAAATCAAGCATTGAAAATAAATTAAAACGTTGATAAAATAAATTTTTGTTTTAAATCGGTCAAAATTATCTTTTACATGTGATGGTAATAATATTTGTAACAAATTCAAACTTTAAAAGAATACATTTTTTGCTGTAACAGAAATTAATTAATCAGATGCAGTATTTCTCAATTTCAGCCCAAATTTCAACATCAGCTGCTGATGTTTTATAGCTTTTTTTTTTAAAAACAATAAAAAAAAGTATAAAAAACTGGCTAAAACCTAACACCCTCACCACCCTCATATATTGTCTAATGTGACAATTTGTTTAGAAAATTTTACAATTCGATGCCTGGCAGGGTGATGGTCATTGCTTAGTGAATATCAGTAAGATTTTGGCCTGTTGGACGACAGTAAAAATCTTAAGTTTTTATTAGATTGCCTGTCGTAACGATAGTCAAAATCTTAAATTTTTATTAGATTGCCTGTCGTG